AGTTCAGTGCAGAACATCATCCCTATTTCACAATAATTTTAAGTATAAATAACGCGTACTTGCGGATAGTAACTAGATAACGAGAAACTTGATATTTAATGCAAACGCAGTAAAATAAATATTTTCATTTTATTATATACTCCGTACATATATGATGTAAAATGACATAATATTATAATATATAGGTACCTCAAAGTTCAAACAAATATTTGTCTTTCTTTTTAAACTTCCATTACACACAAAATATATATTATGTTGTGAAATTTCAATGGCTTAAATTTCTGATAACTTTGAATTTCTTTTTATGCCCTTCAGTTTAAAGTTATCCATAGCCGTTTGCATATTTACATAAGTATGTTATTAAAAAAAGTCATATTCTTGAAACTTGTATATCTTATAGCCGTATACAATACATTTATGTAAAAAACACCCTCTGAAGATTTAAATTTAGCCATATAACTGATCAAATTATAAACTATATCTGTAATCTATAGATTCTTTGATGGCTTGATGTGTTTGAATCATAATGTTTATAAAAAAATGTTTGCAAGCACTCATTTTTAATAATATCTTGATAATTTATACGTGTAAACCGCAAACTCAGAATAAATATTCATATGCTTTATTTTATCATTGTTTAAATGTATACAGAATAATTAACCATTATTTTATTCCTAATAATAATTTAATCAAATTTTATTTTTTTTAAATTTTTAAGTGTACTGATGGACCATTTTTTCAAATATTTTGATTTTATGTAACATTTAAGTAGTTTCCTGTGTGGATAAAAACTTTTTTAGCGAGAGCTAACCTTTCTTGCTGTACCTACATTGATAGAAGGAAGATTTTTATACAAATTTGAATATAGAAATTGTAATTTTAAGGAGTAGTTATTGAAATATTCAACTTTGTGTACTGCGGATAATGGATTTGGAAGATATAAGGTCTGTGTTGATTTGAAAATTTAAGTAACTAACATTATTTATCAACATTTTAAAATTTGTAAATATTGTTCATTGATTTATATAATAAATACTAGGTACATAATATATTAGAACGATTTTATATGTTTGTAAAACCATTTTTAATGACTATTATCCTTATAGTATATATACATTTGAATACATCGGAAACTACTCGTTCAAATTTTATTTCATATACTTCAAAATTTAAAAAAAAAGAAGTTTGTATCATAACATGCAGGACACTCCTTGTATTTAATGTTACATGAAAAATGTAAATAAATGAACCTTTTTTCCCTTGTTATCGAGAACCGATTGAGTAACTGATGTTGGTATTGCTAAATAATTAAACCTGATAATACTGTTCTTAAGTATACTTAAAAATTACAAAATCATAATTTGAAAAAATGTATATTAAAAGAAAAATAGGAGTGCAAGGGCATACTTGGTGAATCTCGTATACAATTGATCCAGTGGTTCATAAACAAATTTCCGGCTGTATCTGTACTTTTTATTTTAATTATGCCAACTATAAATAAACATAATATGATTGACCACAGTGCAGTGCTTATTATTGGTACAAATAATAAGAATTTTCAAACTTTAATTCTCAACTGTATACTTAAATATCTACGTTGAATTGTATAATAACCTTAATAAATCGAAATCATGAATTATATTTTTAAAGTTTTTAAAGAATTATAATCATAATAAATTTTTATAATTCAATAATAGTTCTTTTGATTTTTAATTACACTTATATTTCATAATACGCATTACACAGTAACTGCAAAGTGGCTTTTATAATTTTAATACGATTTATAAAGTTATAAATTATTCTGTTATTATATATTTAATAAAACGTTATCTCAATAATTTACTTATACATTTTTAAAAAGTTTTTTTTGATTAAAAATATTAGACATACATTATTAATAATTAAATCAGTACCCATATCTCTAATTATTCAAAAATGTCAATTTGCTAAATGTCATTAATAAAGTTATGAATATGAGAGGGTATTTAATTAAATTGAACCCTTCATGTTAAATTTTAACTTTTCATTTTTAGTTTTATCGTGTGAAAAATATAGTGTTTTTAGAATCTTACCAATTTTTATTGTATGTAGTATGTATAAATAGAAAATAAAAGAGGGAGCAAGGATTCAAAAGAAAAACATATAAATGTACAAGTACAAAATATTGCTGACGTTTTATTAATACACTGCATGGTTGATGTATGAAATATATATAATATATATGTGTGTGTATGTGTATGTGTATGTGTATGTATGTATTTATGAGAGAAAATAGGGCTTACCGTGCAGTTAAGACTGATCCGGCAATTAGGATTTTCTTCTCGTTTTCTTTCGGTTCCCAATACAGTCCCTTGTGGCTATCATTTAAGCTCTGAAATAGGATTTCATCGTATTTGATCAATACATAGATAACCGTATACATGCAAGGCGGTATCAAACTATTCGTATTTTGTAGGCCGTAAGCACTTAGACACTTAAGATACCAAATTGTCAAAACATTCTTATTGGAAAACTATAAACATTTCATCGCTGAAATAAAAGTAATACTAGATGTCTGGATAGAGCTTACGCTGTTATAATCGGGGACCTGATTCCTGGCAAATATGGTCTTAATAGTCGAAGGTTTTCGCATTGTCACTGCGCTTTAAGTGATTAATCTTCTGGGTATATGCGAGTACCTAGCAGAATAGACATTTATACAAACTAATTATTTTGTTGTCTGGCTATCAAAAGTATAAAATAAAAGTGAAATATTCTTAGTATTGTTAAAAATTAAAATATATAATAACAGTACATTAATAATACATTTTTTGACTTTCACTATCTTAATCAATGTATTATGTTTGTTTTGTATACAACAGTAGAAAAATGCGCAGCTGTTGAACTGCAGTGCAAGCCATCATTTCGAACTCTTGGATTTATAATTTAGTTTCTGCCTTTCTAATAAAACAAAATATATTTATACACAATTTTAAATTACTGACAACAGATTTGATTTACTATAGAGTATGAAAACGTATAAAACTATGTTTTTTCGATAATTTGTTTTCTAAATTTTGATTGTTTATGACAAACCGATGATGGACCTCGATATATTTTAAACTATTAATACAATTTGTATGGAATAAAATGAGTACATTTTGAAAGTAAAACGTAATATCACATGATTTGTGTGGGATTATTTCGTTATTTTAATTATACGTGCTTTTCGAAGAATTGGGATCACTGTAATCATATAAATAAATGCATTAAGATTCGACAAATAAATTGAAATAATCTCATGTGCGTGTAACGATGTCGCGTTATTATCTCACTCGGATACAATTCAAAAACGAATGGCAAGCAAATACGGCGGTTCGTATGAAGATCCACACGACTGTGCCGAGAAATAAACAATATACGTAATACTGTCATCATGCCTGCTGCATGTAGGAACGACGAGGCTTTTCGGTTACAATGCCCATATTATTATCATACTACGACTGTTGGAAATTGGAATGCTCCGTTGAAGGGATTTACGCATCACTCCGTATTATCGCGTCTCGTTCTCACAGGTATTAAGTGCGTGTACATCGTGCGAAAACGCTGCACCGGAAGCTGCTCGGTCGACGGCGAAACTCCGGTGGCGCGAGATAACACAAACACACGACGCGTTAATAGTGGGCAAATAAAGACGGCTACGCGTGTATGATAAAATAAGGTTTGGACACTTTAGACCGAGATTCGGCGGAAATCCTTTTTCTCCTCGTCCTCCTCATCCTCGTCCTCGTCCGCTAGCGGCGACCTCCGGTTCGTGTCGTTGTTTCAAAGTTTCTCCGGGTCGTTTAACAATTCCGTTGCTCTTCTGCCGACCCGTCGCGACGCTGTCGGGTCCCGCTACCGTTTTTCAAAACCCGACGACGACGGCCTGTTGCAGTGTACGTTTTCGCGTCACTGTATATAACAACTTGGACGCATATAAGATGCGTTTATACGAGACTACAATTTCGCGTCGGCCGTCCTCTTCCCGACCAACGGTTTTCGGCCGATCTCTGTGCAGGTCGATCGTTGTCTGTCTGTTTGTTTTTTTTTTCATTTCGAACAAAAAAACGACCTATTTATTATGTCATGTCGTCGTAAATACGTGCGCATTTCACACGGCCGATAGCGCCGTGACAGGCCCGGCGGCGGCGGCGTCTGCGGTGGTGGTGGTGGTGGTGGTGGTGTTAATGCAACAACATGTCACACACATCTCCCGACACCGTTTTCCGCTCTCTCGACCGTGTATATATGCGCGGGTGTGTGTGTGTGTGTGTGCGTGCGTGTGTAGGAGCTTATCGAATTAAACTTAACCCTTTTAGAGGCTATAACGAACACCGAGAGTATATTTCACCCCGAGCTCGTGTGGCAGCGGTGCGCGTATTGCCCCCGATGGTATCACATATATATTAATATATATATATATATTAATATATGTGTGTGTGCAGGTTGGGATGGCATATTGTCTGGTTTATACACGTACAGCGTGCGTATAGGTATATACCACACATACCTATAAATTTATACCTATAATCGCTTGGTCGCGCGCGCGAGTGTGTGTGTGTGTGTACGTATATACGGGGAATTTTTTCGGGGGGGGGGGGATGAAAAACGATCACACCCGCGTTGGACCGTACACCTTTATACGGTGTGTGTGTACACGAGATTGTATAATATACAAGAGTAAGCGTACAGGTCCCTCGCGCCTGCGCACTCTTGTGCGTGTGTGCGTGTGCGTCTGTATGAGTGTGAGTTAGTTCGTCTCTCTACCAGGACATAATCGAATTAGCTGTGCCGCCGCCGCCGATATATATTAAAGCAGCTACGATGGTGGTGGTGGCGGCACACACGTACCTCAGCGGCGGCCGCGATGCTGCCAACGGTAGACGGGCGGCGGTCGGCTGCGAAGGGGGCCCGGGTGAGTCGCCGCCGCCGCGCGGAACGCCAGCAACACCCGCGGCGCGGCGCTGGGGCACCACTACCGCCGCCACCACCGCCGCCGCCGCTCGTTCACCCAATGTTGTGTTTATAGTAGTCGGCGCGCGTACCGTAGTGTGTCGTTCGACGCTGTGTTTTAACGTCCGCCACCGTTCCACCGACGAGTGTCGCATTCGCGGCGCGATTTAATAATTATATATATACCATTATAATATATGCCAGATTGTTTTTGATTTCTTTTTTCGGTCTAATCAAAAACGACGAAGAGTCGACTTTTTACGGTCCTATACGTATTTTTTTTTTGTTAATTTTTTTTTTGCCGGGAAAAGTACACCATCGCATCCGTCCGACTCGAGTGCCGCTCGAGGAATAATAAAAGCCTGCAGACTTATTACACGTAAGACGCATACTACGCCGAGCGCGTCTTAGCCGTCGTCGTATCTTTCGCGTGTCACCCACACGCGGTAATATCGACCGGCTGCGGTGATGTGCACGTTGTCGTTACCGCCGTCGCCGTCGCTCGATCAGTCCCCGACCCCGACAACGGCAACGACCGCCGTCGACGCGACAACCGCAGCGCGATCATTATAAGACTGCGGCGGTGTAACGCAGACGCGTCGTATTATTGTTGTACACGTCGCATCGAGAGCCCTCCGATCCAGACGCCAGCCGCCGCGGTATACATATAGACGGACGGACAGCAGGAGGACTGCTGCAGGTTGTCGCACATATAGCGGAAGCAAACGCGGGATCGTCGCCGCCACCGCCGTCGCAGACCGACGACCGTTCGCAGGTGAGAGCGCGAGTGACGCGGGCGCGCGCGAATAATCGGCGGGACGCGGGCGGCGCGGGTGGCGCGATTCACCCGCGCGCGGCATACGATATTATATACACACGTATATAAATTGTACGTGTTTATATATATATATATATATACGCATGTACGTGTGTACGCGTAGTGTATACGTAACGGCGACGTTCGCTCCGCGCGCGCGATTATCGATTGCCGCTCCGATTTCCGGAGAAAAACCCACTGCCGCCCCCCCAAACCGCCACCGCCGCCGCCGCCGCCTCCGCCTCCGCGCGATCCGGGTCTTCGGAGTCTGTGGCGGCGGCGGCGGTTGGGGGGGGGGAGGCGGCGGTCTCGTTATCATAAACGTTATAATATATTATATTCCTTCCTGTGCGTTATTGCATGTGTGTGGCGTTTCGGACCGCGGCCGCCGTTACGACCGTCTATAAAATATATATGTCCGTGTCTAGGGGCAACGGTGGATCGGTTAGCACACATACTGTATATGTACATGAACGATGGGGTTGTGTGTGTGTGTGTGTGTGTGTGTGTGTGTATGAGTGTGGGTAAGGGTGAGTGGTCGAGGGTGTGTGTGTGTATAAGCTCTACCCCCCCCCCTTGTGTGAGCACGTCCGCAGAACCGAATTTCTCATTACGATTTTACACGTATGTTTATACCCTCGCGGTATTTGTATTCCTATTATTGCTAGAACCCCCCCCCCCCCCCCCCAAACGCATAAAGTTATATAAACGCACCTTCCTATATACCCTCACGTAGGTATACAATATTATTACGCGTTTAATTGGTACGTCACAAAGTGTGTGTGTGGGTGGGTGGCATTTTCGTATAAATTCGCGATATTGTTTTGTTTCTTTTCTCGAGTGTAACCCACCGCCGAACGCAAATTTCGCTGAAAACCTAATTATACGACCGTGTTTAAAACGTTAATTAAAAATCGTATTTGTCGTCTCGAACTGTTAAAGACGGTAGTATATATTATACATTATGTAATAAATAATATATTTCCTTTCATTACGAATAACCTTACCGTTTGCACCCTATATGTATTTATATACACATCGTAACGGGTTTTATACTCATGTATATTCGAATATTAAAATTGTTGCATATTGTGTATGATATTATTTTTGTAGAAAAAAATGTTTAGAAAACAATGCAGTGCTCACGACTCTATAATAATATTTCTAATAATAACTGTACGTGTATGAGATAATATGTGCACTACACTACTAGGCTTGATCGGAGAAAACATTAATTATCAGATACAGCTTTTTTTGCTGAACTCTGGGGTGGGGGTGAATTTTTAACGAACCTCGTGTTTTATTAATTGAGATGATGAATGTGTGAAAGTACAACGTTCACATAATGGTTTTAATGTGTTTCTCGTTTTGTTTTTTATACTGTCTCAATGGGGTTGCCAATGTTTGTAATCTTTTTTTTATTAACATTTTATTAAATGTACTCAAACATAAATATTGATCACGTTATGCTATACAGAACCATGCGTAGGTATGAATTTTTTTGGTCTAAAGTAGTTTTTGAATTATTTTATATTTATTAGCTTAATACTGAAAGCTATGGGGTACATTGTTTTGGAGCAGTAAAATATTATCACTTTCAGTTATTTCAATTTTTTATACATATCTGATGGTTAATCGTTAAATTTTTTCTTATATTTTGTGTTTATTATTATTATTGAGTTATTAAAAAAAGTTATTCAAAATTATTACCTATGGGTATCAGCTATTGGATTATGCAGTGGTCACTTTAATAAAGATTAAAACTAAGACTATTATACTCTTGTTTTATCGAACTAGACGAAAATATTAATTCGCAAGATGAAATACAGACACATAAATATTTTTTTTTTAAATAAAGGATACTGATTCCTGTGGTCATTATCTATTATATGCGTGGGTGCGTGTTATTACAAACATTTTAAATTCTAAGCATAGCGTGAAAGCTTACAATATTAACAAGCTTATACCATGAAGACTTTACAATGTTGTTACTTTCAGAAAACAATTAGTTTCGTGTTATTTATCGTTTAATTAAATTTAACGTATATTATTCTACTTTAGGTTATTATGACTCCAATATTATTATACTTATTTGTTTTTCAAACAAATTGTTTTGAGTTTATTATTCAAATTCGTACTTATTTTTAATTAAAACAATGTGATGATGAAGAGGTTTTAAATTTCAAATTATTCTCCTTCGTTGTACATTTCTTATGTTTATTACGGTCACATAATAATGCAAAACTATTTTATCTCGATATTTGCAAACTATTATTTTATCATGCAACAATAATCGCATTGATATATTATATTTAACTACTATTCAATATAGTGACTAAGGTACAACTTAACCAAGAATATGCCATATGACTACATCTATATACTATAGAATGTTGACTTTATTTATATAGTCTATATTTAATTCATATTAAAAAATACAATTTGAAAAAAGTCATTAAACTATGATCGCCTTTTAGTTACCTATGTGGTTTCAGCAACTGTAGTAAGTACCTATAAAGTAAAACCCAATTACTTCTAAGAAAATAACTCGGATCGAGATAATTTTCCCCTCAGTTTTTTAAACTCTTAATTTTGATTTTACTTTCAATTTATCATCATATTTTTGTGCTCAAAATCATTATAATTATTATCATTACCAGCTATGAGTTTTAATATTAAATAAATAATGGATTGGAAATTGGCCGTCATTTGATCATCATAATGACATAATGCCTTTAACGTTCGGTGATCAGAAATTCGTGTTAACGAAAATAGCTGGGAAAAGTTCTGAAACGTCCTAACGCCTTTAAAGTTGGAACAAAGTATGTGCAACAATTACATTGTGTATATGTATTTGGAAAAGTTTGCGAAAAATCATTAATGCAGATTAAAATTACAGAGTAGGACAGATAAGAAACTCGCCAATACTCTGAGGTTGTATCTGTTGCATTGGTTCATGTACGCCCAATTTACTTGATAATATTCCAAGTGCACATAATACGCTTACAAAAAAAAAATAATAATATGTTATAGTAACGTAAAAGGGGTTTATAATAGCTCTCACAATATATTGATCGAATTATAAGTTATGTATATATAGTTATAACGAACCAGTGAAGTAACTGATTAATATATAGGTACACCCGTCATAAAATATAAAAAAAACTCTAGTGAAATTCGATTTGGCTTTTGCTGTAAAATGTAGTGGCGAAATCGACTGGCTCTCTTCTATTTTAATTGAACACACGCCATACCTATAAATTGTTTATTCGACGATCGATTCCCGCGTATAGGTATAGGTACCACCTGTATATACCTACATGAAATGATATACAACACGATGACGGATCATATATCGTATTATATTATTATATTGTTTTGAATAATTAATATATTCCTGTTAGGTTATTATAACCAAGATAACAAAATGAATGAAAACCGGCGGAAAAACAAATATTTGAACTTCGCGACGACGCGTCCCGATAAAATCATCCCCCCGTGACAATATATATTTACACATATACATATATATTATATCCACAGTATATGATATGAAGTATAAACTTTGGCACCCCCGGCGTTGACGTGATCCGTTACGATGAGATAATATTAATTTATTTTTGCGCCGTGAGTTGCGACACTAACGTTTATTTTTAGTCCTAATCAAAACTTAATTTCGTTTGATTAACTTTTGTGTTTTTTGTGTTTTTACATATTTTATAATGTGGGTATTTAAGACACTGCATTTTCGGAGGAAAAAAAATACTAATGATTTTGCGTAATGCATTGGGTAATGAAATAAAATGTATTGAATGTTGTCACTGAAAAACATGCGAGAACCTATAAACCCGAATAAAACTATTTTTGAACTTTTTCGAATTGGATTTTAAACTCCAAAAATACCCGAACACTGAGTAATTATTATTTCCTCTTCACTCCTCCTCCAAAAAAAGGTCTTCTTCTGTATAGGTAAATAATTACAGTATAATCTGATTGATTATGGATGTAGGATTTTCACAATCTTTATGTACTTTTTGTCATCGATATTTAATATTCCATAAGCGCCTGTGAACTATTATATATTGGCTATATATAACACTCTCCAGAGATGGTGTTTATAAACACTAAATAACAGTATTTCGTGTAGGTGTATTATTATTAATTATAATAGCACCTGGCCGGTTGGTTTATGGATTCACGGAACCTTTTCATATTATATTGTCTTCATACATATTTATTGTACATAATTTCTCGCGTCCCGTTTGACATTAATTATTCGTAAACAATAATGAATCGATTAACGTTTTTGTAATTTATAATTTACGATTTTTTTTTGCCGGTCGTTGTTTATGCAATATGATTTCGAATTTAAATAATTATGCATCTCGTTGATATGCGAAAACCGAATGATCCGGGCATTGTTCCTTATAATCATATTATTATTTATATTATTATTATTATTATTGTAATGGAAAATACCCACCCCTTGTGCTAGCGGTTTTTGGACGTGACCGCAATGGGGGGAAAGAAAACGCGATAAAATCTATTCCTCGGATTTAAACTTATATACACATTACATATAATATTATATGCATACATAATGTACACTTGTACGCGTTTTCAGCAAGTTTAATGACGGGGGTTTTTTTTTTAGTCTTGGCGTGGGTGTTATTATTGCGACCGATTTAATATCAGCGTAGATTTATAAAATAACTTTTTTAGCCGTATAATTTTTTTTCCCTCTACGCCCTCGCCGCGATTATTTATCATATATATCTTACGATGCGTTATAATATTTTTTTCTAAACGATCGCGTTTTGATATCACGTCGCTTACTACGCATAATATTATTTATGTGTGTAATACCGCCCCGAGAATTCGTAGATATATATATATATTAAAAATACACATAAGGACGGAAGAAAAATAAATACATAATATTTCATACGATAATATTT